GCACATTGCAATACGGGACGTCACAGACCACGTCTTCACGAAATGCAACTTCAGGAAATCTGGAACCACTAGCCAAAGACCATTTCACGTTAAACTGCACAAACCACAAGCGCAAGGTTACGGTGGGTTCCCAAGGCTTGGTTCGTTGAGCCGGTGGATACCGTATACGCACGAAATAATTATTAACACGGTGGCATTACCCTTCTTGGCCCTTATTTGTCGGCCTCATCAACTTGAGACGTTGCCTACGCTCTGAATTACGGCGAAACGAAGTATAGCAGGGTATCCTGACCACCTTCGTCTCACCCTCGCGTGATTAGAGTTCTTGTAGATCGCTTTTGCATTCCGATAACGAGTCCCGATACATCACCTGCACACTTGCGCGCGGATTTCTTTCGTTATCGTAACGGTCTATACCGAGACTCCCTACAGGGGAGTTTTGTCAGATTGTTTCGGTGACAACTCTCTATCTCCCTCGTTGTGTGCAACGTTACCAAACATGCAAGGGCGAGACTTTAACGTTGGCAGTTGGGGATGAAGGCAAAAATAAATAGATAGGGTATGTACTCGATACTTTGCCCGCAAATTCGTACATGCATTGTATCGTTATAGTGTATCATTAACGAAAAACAAAAACGACTTACAAAAAAAAAAGAGAGAGAGAGAGAGAGAGAGAGAGAAAAAACAACGACAGTAGTTTTAACGAATGATGCTACAAGATATCGAAGTGGATACTGGCCCTAAGTTCCTTGTTACTGTATAGGTATTTCGCATGTTTCGGACATAGTACAAAGACGACTTCTTCGTGTTCTACCACGGATAAGCCTCAGTAAGCGGATTGCCCCTCTCTGAAAAATATCCTTTTTCTTTTTGTTTTTTGTTTTGTGTGTGTGTGTGCGTGTGCGTGTGTGTGCGTGTGCGTGTGTGTCTGTGTGTGTGGAACTAGGGTTCGGTCGGCGAGAAAGTGGATATGATTGAAGTAAAGAAAGACACTTGCGCCTGATGCGGGTACTTTTTTTTGCGGGAATCAGCGTTTGAAATGAAAAAACCGCTTCTCGTCGCATGCTTCGTTATTGTGAACACTTATTTTGAGCCCCTTAAATTTGCCAAAATAAAGAATCATATCATGATTGCTTTGGAGAGAAAGGGAGCGGGCAAGACCTGATGGAAAATGTGCCGCAAGTTGGAATTCTGTTGTGTTCACTCTATGATTCGTCCACTACTCTTGCTCTAGTAGTTTCCTTCTTTAAATTGTTTTTGCCCTCGCTTGTTGGCGTTAGTGTTTGTCGAGCTCGCTGCTTGGTTCACGATGCCCGCTTCAGACGGAGCAACTTTTCCAGCAATTTTGGGGTTGCTGGTGGGTTGTTCCCTCCCTAGCTTTCCCTAGATCGACACGAAATGCTGAGGTCGGGTCCGGCTCGAACAAGCGAGCAACTCGGAGCAATTCGAGGACGTTTGAGTCGGCAGCATCCAATTAGGGAAGTGATATTTTCACGTCGCACCCCTGTGGTAGTGATGACAGCTAAAGATTTGGTTCTGGTTTGAAATGGATTGTTTTTGGAAATAATCCTTTTCAGAAAGACGAGTTGGTATTCTCAACGCCATTCAAATATATAAAAACACGTTTCTAGCGCGTAGCTTTGCGTCTAAATAGTGCAAGAAAAATCAAATCGAATGATGATGATGGCAAGTCGTAACAATTCGGTTGCTGCGTGTGAACGCGGGCGGTCCGTGTTGCTGGTGTTGCGACGTCAAGTTGCTGGCTGAAATTGCCCTGTCTAAAGCGGGCCTGATGATTTTTTTTTTTTTTTTGTCCTCATTATTAGCATTCGGACTCCCTGCACGATGCTTCGTTTGGAGCTATATGCGAGCATCTACTTCTTTATAATTTCCAGTATGCTTGCATATCAATTAAAATACTCTTGCCTATCAGTTCCCATATCCTTGCATAAAGCTCCCTAGACGAAATATATAATAGAGTTCTTATGCGCGCCGTTGCCTAGCATTCTGAATTTTCCCTCAGGGACGTGTGTTTGAAAATTCTAAAATTGAATGACAAAAACAAATACGAAGGATATTGTTTTAACTTGTATTCAATTTTTAACTGTCATCACAGCATTGTTAGTCGCTATGTCACTTTCACGCATTCACAAACACCCCGCAATATTTTATGTATGTCATTTCAGCGCATTACTACGGATTAAGGAAATTTCCAATGTTCATACGGCACTCCCTATAATCAATATTTAGAAGCGCGGCGCTGTTATATAAATAAAACAGGTTATCAATAATGTGGTTAAGAACCGTCTGCGCTTTTGCTTCGCAGACGAACACGACGTGAAGCTAGATTGGCAGCGCGACGGAATGCTTTTGAAGACACCACTTGGGACGGTGGCGACATCTAGCGGCGGTCGAAAGAACGTTCTCTCCTTGGGCCCCCTTCGACGCGCTGACCTTCACGCCAGGCTCGTCTGCGAGGCAATCACCAACGTTTCGTTGCCCGCCGCTGCATCGCTAGTCGTCGACGTGTTTCGTAAGTACGTGAACGCTGGCACCATAGCTATGGTGTGTTAGATGGTACAAAACTCTGGAACTTTCTACCTAACGATGTTCAAAGTTCAGATACTTTAGCCAAGGACTGCCTTTTTAATCACCTTCACTCTCATAAATCTTCTCTTGGTTTAGATAATTTAGTATTGCTCTTGTGATCATATAATGGTGTTTTTGCCTTTTTTTATTTCCATATAGTTCTTTTTATTTAACCTGTGTTGCTCACTCTACGCCTCAAATGCCTTATTGTAATGAACCGAAACTAGCAAACTGGCTACGGGTTAACTTGCTTTTTCAGTAACATGTATGTGCCCTACTGATAAGAAAACGAATTGAACCGAATTGAAGTGGGATGTGTAAGAAAAGCTCCGGCGATAGCTGTCCCGCCAATTCAAGCCTACAAAGCTGAGCATAACATGTATGGGGCAGAGCAGTATATTGGGAGAGTTTGGCCAAGGGGCGGAGCAAAGGCCGTCGCCAGAGCCAAATATTCACCCCGCGGTTAGATCGTAAACTAGAAATGAGACACAGCGTCGACCAATCAGCAGACTTCGACGTCACAATACTGGAAACGACATTTAAAGCGTAAAATAGAAGCTTTCAATCTCGCAGCAGCAATGATCTCAGCTACGCAGTTCGCTCTGGTTTGGAGCGCACGTTCGTTTATTTTATCATTGAATATGGACCTGACGAAAACCTCACATGCGCCAAGCTTACAGTCCCCGAGAGTTACGCCTTTTTACTCTAACGACGCTATAACGGCCTAAATTAATCGAGTCGCATTTTGAGAGCTCACGATCACCGCTAGGGGCTGTTTCGCAACCTGTGGTTGGCCACGAGACGCTCGACTGCTCAAACCAATGAATGGCCAAACTCTCCCAACACACGGCTCCGGTATAGGGGAAGCAGCGCCACCTTGTACTCTTAGGGCAGGAAGTGAGAGGCATGCGAAGTAGACGAGTGTGGAGGCGGAGGTAGAGGGGCGAGAGTAGCCAGGAATCGCCGAGCTATACTCTCGCAATACACATAAATGCGCTGTGGCGCTGTAGCCAACGTTCGCACATCACGGTGATGGCGACATCGAGGCATGAAGAGCATAGTACCGCTCTCGGCCACGTGGAGTAGCGAACGATCGCCAAGCGTCGCCCTCTATAGCCCGCCATACCATAGCGGTCTGGACAGAAAACTCTGCGTCGGCGTTTTTGAAGAATATTTTCATTCACTGCATGCACGTTCGTTGAATATTCCCCTGGGTACCACAACTAAAGACCGAGAAAGGTTTGTGAAAATATATTGGTACGGTAAGCACTGTGAGGAATGGAATTCTTTGTTGGCGAGTTTTCTTTGGGAAGGGGAGGGGGGAGGTGGGGGGTGTAAATGTAAATGTTAGGTGCAGTCGCTTGAGCTGTGTGATCCGCTTAGTTGGTTGAAGTTGTTAAAGTTAAAATGCTGTCAGGAAATGTTCCCGAGTCCAATTAACAAAATGTGGATGGCGCCATCTGCCCGCTGACGCTGCACACCGTTTGGGGGAGCAAGATGGTTTGACGGTCTCATTGACTGAACTAGTCATATGATTAAAACTGATAGGTGTTTCATATGCAATGTAAAGCAGCAAATATGTAGATGCTTCACAGACTACAGTCCTTCCCTGGTGAAAAAATCATATAGGTACGACACGTTTTGATCCAACAGACATATGTACTCAGATAAGATCGCATAATAGCACATGAGAACATTATAAAAACATATAAGAACAATATATGATTATGTAAGGAGTTATAAGAAACTTAACAAAAATTTAAAAGAAACTTGTTATCAGTTTTTTATAACGACTTATATACTCTTGCATGGTTCGTGTGTGTACTTATATAATCTTATTTGATCATATGTGTTTGTTGGACCAAACGATCTCTCGCATAAATAAGATGTTTCACTGGGACTTTTAAGTTAGTTCCTTCTGCGTCGTGTCTCTGTCATGAATCACTTTAGTCGATTACTTTCTGGAATAATTGTGTAACTGTTTAGTGAATTGTTCTAGAAGCGACCATACAAACCATGTGCCTACTCTTCGAGGTAATAAACACGAAACAACTGCATTCAAAAACTAAATATATTATTGATTATTTACTTAAATAACTCCACTTTTGAAACAAAAAGGTTTCCTGGACAATATATAGGTAAAATATATAAAATAAGCGGTCTGTAACAATATCACATCGCAAAATGAAAAAAAAAAAAAAAAACGTTTCGGGGAACAAGGTAAATAAATCTGCTGTCCTTACGTAAAAAAAGTTTTGATTTCAGATGTTATTTTCCCGTCTAACTCAAACACAGCTTCTGTTTTTTTTTTTTTTTTTCTTCCTCAAAAACTAATAGTCGCACCCACGGACGTGACCATCTGGAGCTGGCCACAGGATAAGAACGAACTCCTAGCACCAAGTGGCTTGACGATGGCTTCGTCTCAGGCTACGTCTCCGGCCGGTCTCGGCTTCGAGTGCGAAGCCACGGGTAGCCGGCCGCCAGCCAACATAAGCTGGTTCCTGGACGGCCGACCCATGGACCCGGGTTTCAGCCACGCGAGTCTTGAAGGCAACGTGTCACGGAGCATCCTCTTGATGCCCGCCTCAGAGCGCCAGGCCAGGCTGCTGGAGTGTAGAGCCACCAATGGACAACTGCCACACGACAGAGGTGTCGTGAGCCGGTTCTTCAAGGTTGATCTCTCTCGTGAGTTGTCATCTGATCACAGGAAATACCTTTACTATGCTAGATATTTTACCAACAGCTTGAGGCACTTGAAAACAACAAGGAGTTTCCTATGTAGTCCTTCCTCCGGCAAAAAGCTAGCTGTCTTTTATTGCGTCTTGACGGCGCGTCAAGACACAGTGGAGCACACAAGTATAAAAGACTCGTGACACAAGTCTAGCAAACTCTTCTAGACACAAGTATAAAATAACCTTCTAGACACAAGTATAAAATAACCTTCTAGACACAAGTATCTAATACTGGGGCGACGTAAGAACATTTCGAACATGGTGGTAGAAACATGGCAGCCGAAAGGCATCATCATCCTAGAACTGTCAGTAAGCATAGCCTTCCGATTCAACGTTTTTGCGTGTTGAATTTGAAATTCTATCAAACCTTGTAAGTTCAAGAGCCAGCAGGTCAAGCGCCAAACGTGTTAATGGAAGGATATAGAAACAATATAATAGTATTGTATGTGTAATTTTTTTTCTTTTTTAACAAAGTCCTAATAAGGAGCTCGCATTGACACTGAATCATGTGCGACGTTTGGAATAATTAAGAACTTATAAAACAACGTCGCCAGATGTGATCGCCTTATATCAAACCGCTCGTGCATGATGATTTTCCAAGTCCTAACCTCGATGAAGGCTATATATTATCCAGTCATTTCTTGATATTTATGTTGTGAAAATCGAGGTTGTGGTTTAGCCACTTATGTACTGGTTACTTGGCTTACACATGAATACTTACACATTCAAACTAGCGAGACAAAACTGTCCCAAAAAATTTTATCTCGATATTTAAAAAAAAACATATGTCGGAAATGACGTCACTGTACCCTACTCCGTGATCCGTCAGGCTGATGGGCCATTAAACACTTTGTCACAAGCGATATTCTCCTATGTCCCGTCAAATATTTGCTTTCTAACCTCAAAGGTGTATACAACTGGAAACAGTGCACAAATAACGAAGACAAGGAAGGTGCAAACGGGACGAGACCTTCCTCGTCTTTGCTATTTTGTCTCGCCGTTTTCACTTGTATCATGAACAAACTCGCCTGCATCGACAGTTTGTTTCAAAGGTGGAGCGTAGAAGACAACGTAAAGCGTGGCATGAAAAGTTTAGCGTTCCAGCTAACGTCGCCCCTAATGTGACGAAACAAAAACAAGATATCAAAATTGTCAGCTGAACGGTTTTTGTTTTTGCTTTTTAATGCTTGTGTCGTCATGGATCACCAAGGGACGGCCACCACACCAGTGGCCTAGAAGGAAAAAGTTGCGCTCCATGTCAAGTGGAAGTTACTTTACTTTTGTGTAAGGTTGAAACCATGCAGAGTTGCTAGCTGTCTTAATACGACCACATGAGCTTCTATTTCTTCTGCTACGATAGCCCTTTTAAGATTTCGTTGATTCTGCAGCTTTCTGGTATGGATACTGGGGGACAGGACTAGACTTACGCAAACTTCTTTACTTCTTCAAGACCATGACAGGCATCGGGTTCCTTTACGATGAAGTGGCAGTTTATGGTCTCACTGACTCCAAGGAATCTTCTCCGCTGCAGACAAGCCCGAGGTGAGCCTTCGGCTGGGCACGGGCCTCAACGGCAGCCACATCACTGAGGGCAGCGACGTGTACCTGGAGTGTTCCGTGGTGGCTGCGTCAAGGATCACGGACGTGGCCTGGTACCACGAGGGACGGGAGCTCAAGGGCGAAGGACAGGAGGCCCTGGTAACCTCCCGGTACCTGGTCATTCGCCGGGTGACCAGGAAGGAGATGGGACGTTATACCTGCAGGGCGACCAGCGCCGAGGGAGAGACCGTAGAAAGCCCGCCTTTCTACCTCCGAGTTCAGCGTAAGACAGCAATTCTGCACGTTGTTACGGCTAGTGTACACTTTTGCGTTTGACTGTAACCAGGACAGCAACACATTGTTGAGACTAGTTCGCACATTTGTTTTTAATTATAACCGACCTCGATGAAACCCCTTGCGGCCGCTTACGACAAGAGAACACACGTAATGCCATATTTATCGGGAAGCTCATGAACACTTTTGTTATGCGTGCATTTTGCGCATCAAACATTGTTCTCAAAACTAAAATTTTCGATAGATAGTGCATAATTCGGAATGTTCCAGGGCTACCCGACTGATGGCGGATGTGATCCTCTCTCTCTGTTAAGAAATGTTAACAAAAAAGTGCACTGCCTCGGTGGCGTAAGTCGCCGCCCAATTCAAAAGGTTCAGCTGCATCCATCCATCCATCTATCAATCGCACCGTAACAGGGTACTAGCGGTTGCCACGCGCTCGATTACACTCAAACGATAATGCGTACACCAGGCTTTTAAAGTTTAAACGATGCCCGACAGTACACTTTTCACTAGGTGAGTTGGACAGTCAAGCAATCCCAGAGTAAAGCTCGGGAATACCACAGTGAAGCATTGGGGGGATTTTAAGTTTTCCTACCAGCTTCGACCACCTTAACGTTTTATGTTTTGGTGGCGCTACCTGGCGGGCGCCCTCCTGTGACAGAGCTACGAGGATGCGAGCAGACGACGCGCAATGTCAAAGCACGGAGAAGTAATGTTAGTTTACATTTATGCCAATTATATGTTAAAAACAGTTTATTTATTAAAGAAACGTGTATGACGTTTTTGTGAGTGATCTTTCTAATAAATAACAGCGCCTCGAAGGTGCTTTTTATATTAAAGAAATCTTTGAGATGTTCAAAAGTAGACCTGGAGCTTCACATTACAGCTTGCAGCGGCGTGCCTCAGAACTATTCACAACCTCCCCGATTCTTTTTTTTTTTAATTTATGGAATAAAAAGAAGTTTTCGCATACTCCAGAGCAAATGACGTTCTGTCTTGGCCTCCGGAAGACGGCTGCCGCTGTCAGAGCTACCTTTCGGAAGTGTCGCGCAGATATTTGCCTGGTGCCATACTTCGGTTCGCTTTTCTGCCGGAACGCGCCTGATATCGCTAATTTTGCCCTGAGACGGTGGAAGCTTCAGCTGCACTCTCCTTACTATACTATGATACACGTGAAAGACCAGGGTAACAAAAACCAATTTGTTCTAATCTAAGGCGGACCATTTTCGTGAACAACCGCAGCCTGTTTATTCACGAAGATTTCATAGTAGAGCCAAACACTGCATCTACGCCTCTACGGGGCGTATCGAGAGGATAATTAGTTGTAGATTTTTTTTTTTTTTTAGAAACGTGTTTTGCTAGAGGGCAGTAAGTGCGACGTAACATTAGCGATTGTTCCTGCAAGTATGCAGAAAAAGGAAGCCATGGACGTTTTTAAAAATGAAAAAAAAAGTTTTCGTTGATCCAGTTAGAATTTCTAAGCCATACATAGGCCGAGGTTTTAACCGAAAAGCCAATTTCTCTTATAAATAAACACCGGTATATTTACGCCCTACTCATACAATGTTCCAGCCTGAACACATCTAGCCCTCCCGCTCTTATCGAATTCGTTTTGCCAGATCCTAACTTCTTCGAAGCATCTGACAAAACTTGAAGTGGTGTGGGTAGCGATATGACTAATGTAAAGCTACCTTATATACTAGCCTAACATCTGTAGTGAAGTTGCTAGCGCTACACTTTCCTAATTAAAGAAAAATACTAAACAATATGAGGTAAGCTCTAGTGGTTATGGGAGAATAACATTATTCAAGTTCTCACCTTTTAAAAAAAAGTGAAAGCTGCTTACAACTCCCTGTACCGCCGAATTAGAGCGCAGCTCTTGAGGAGGAGGAGGGAAGGGCACCTGGGGGGGGGTTAAACAAACCAGGGGGTGGGGTCACGTGACCCCCAATGCCGATGATGTCATCACTGAGGTCACTGATGACGTCATCATTGGCGATCACGATGCGGGTACCGATGACGTCATTAGTGACGTCACTGATGACTTCACCAGTGATGATGACGATGACGATGCGAATGTCGGTGACGTCATCAGTGACGTCGCTGATGACGTCATCAGTGATGATGACGATAACGATGCGGATGTCGGTAACGTCATCAGTGATGATGACGATGACGATGCGGATGCCGGTGACGTCATCAGTGATGATGACGATGACGATGCGGATGCCGGTGACGTCATCAGTGACGATGACGATGTGGATGCCGGTGACGACATCAGTGACGTCACTGATGACGTCATCAGTGATGAGGACGATGACGATGCGGATGTCGGTAACGTCATCAGTGATGATGACGATGACGATGCGGATGCCGGTGACGTCATCAGTGATGATGACGATGACGATGTGGATGCCTTTGACATCATCAGTGATGATGACGATGACGATGTGGATGCCGGTGACGTCATCAGTGATGATGACGTCATCAGTGGTGATGACGATGACGATGTGGATGCCGGTGACGTCATCAGTGACGATGACGTCATTGGGGGTCACGCGACAGCGGCGGGGGTCACGTGACCTCAGGGGAGTCACGTGACTTCGGGGGGTCACGTGACCTCGGGGGGGTCACGTGCCCCCCACGAGGTCACATGACCCCGGTGGGGGGCTCGCGCGGTGCATTATGGGACATTTCCCATGATGCACCGCGCAATTACGCCGACGGCGACGCCGACGGCGACGCCAACGGCGACGGCGACGCCGACGCCGCTTAAGCCGGAAACGGGCCCCTAAGAGCTGCGCTCTAAAACAGAACATCATTGGCATATCGGGGCCGTTTGCTCTTCGTCAAAGGTAGCACTGCTATGCTTCCTATTACACTCATGTTTTGTTAATACGGACCCGCTAACATTAGAGAGATGCTTAGAAAAGGAAGCCCATGCGTTTTGGACTCCCTACTCTAGAGACGCGTCTGTAGTATAGGGGCCTGTACAAAGCGTGGGGCCCCCTATTCAACACACGCAATTTTCGGGGGACGAACTGGGCAAATACATGCACACTGGTCTCTTTATTATGGACAAATCGCATTATGACCCATTCCTTAGGGCAGGGGTTGGCAACCGGTGGCCCGCGAGGCCATATGATGCGGCCCCTGGCACGTTGCCAGAAAGCCCCCCCCCCCCCCCCCACACACACACACACACACACACACACACACATGCTCTCGAGGACTAAAAACGCAAGCAATCTGGTTGGTTGCATACCTTGTATAATCTGACGTATTCATTCAGAAACAGCACACCAGGGCCCGTTTGCCCGAAGCGCTAACCGCCGCTAAAGTTAGCCGCAGTAACTAGGATAGGGATTTTGAAATCACGTGACTGGCTCGGTAGGGATGCGAATGCGGAGAAATATGGCGGTGCCCCGGTGAGTGAGCGCTGCTCGCTTTGGAACTAATATGTCGTTGTAGCTGCAATATCGGGCGCGTTAGTCCGCAACGAACGGCGCAGGAGGCTTTCGCTTTGCCTTACCTCACTCAAATCGCAAAGCATGAGGAAGGACCTCGCCGAATTTTTTAGATAGTCATTCGATTCTGGATATTTCTAAGCCTAAATGAACGCGATAATTGTCGGCATTTCAACGTCTTTGGAAAGCGGATTGCCTTGACTCAATCGGCCGGGTATTGATAGCACACAAAGGCAGACAGCGTCCCAATAAATCTTTTTCTAAATTTCCCAAGCACCGAGGAGAACGCTGAAAGTGTAGTTCTACGGTCCGCGCGCGCTGGCCTTTATCTTATAAAAGATTCCAAGTAAATAATCATAAGGCTTTGACGAACGCGCGTGCAAGGCAAAATTTGTTTTAGACTTTTTGATTTAGAACAATTACTACTGCAGACGCCAGCACGTGCAACGCGTGTAACTACACTCGTAGCATGCACCTCGGTGCTTGGGAAATTCAGCAAAAGGTCTATTGGGACGCTGTCCTGCTTTTGTGTGCTTTCAATACCCGGCCGATTGAGTCAAAGCAATCCACTTTCCAAAGACGTTGCCCTGCCGACAATTATCGCGTTCATTTAGGCTTAGAAATATTGGCCAGAATCGAAAGACTATCTAATAAATGGGGCGAGGTCATTGCTCATGCTTTGCGATTTAAGTGAGGTAAGGCAAAGCGAAAGCCTCCTGCACCATTCGTTGCTGACTAACGCGCCCGATATTGCAGCCACAACGACATATTATTTCCAAAGTGAGCAACGCTCATTCACCGGGGCAACGCCATGTTTCGCCGCAACCCTACTGAGCCAGTCACGTGATTTCAAAATCCCTCTCCTAGGTACTGCGGCTAACTTTAGCCGCGGTTAGCGCTTCGAGCAAACGGGCCCAGGGGGTTAGTTCCTATGCACGACCGTTGTATGTTTCACCTATCCACAGTTGTGTTGCACCAAAGTGATGCATTGAGAAGCAGTAATGAAGATCACCGTATAGAGTATAAACTGTTCGAAATCACGGTTCTGCACAATTGTCGATTGCAACAATTTCTGTCACATACGGAGGCTTACTATGGAGATCCAGGCCAAGTGACAGGTCAGAATATTATTGTGAATCCTCTAGGCCAGTGGTTCTCAAATGGGGGTCCGCGGACCCTTTGGGGTCCCCGAAGTCACTCTAGGAGTCCGCGAAGCCTTGCCTCATCAGTCACGCCCGGCGATAAAAGTTGTCTTGTTTCAGGTCGAGGGGAAATGTTTCAATGTTCGGGCGAGCTTTCCTGTGTGTAGGTCAATAAGAAAAGTCTACTTCACTCTAGCTCTTTGCTATACCTTTCCCTCCCCTCACCACGAACGGGGTTCTCCATGATCTCCGCCGATCCACAAGGGGTTCGCGAAACATCGATAGTTGAGAACCACCTGCTCTAGGCCATCATTACAAACAGCAATTGGACTGGCGGCTTTTAGTTTGTCTGGGTTTTTGGATGTTGAAATGGGACC